AATGCTGGGATTTTGGGTGTGTGGCACCACACTCTGCATTTTTCTTTGTGTCTCTGACATTTATTTATTTTTAATTAAGTGTATTGGTGCATTTTTAGGTGTACACTATGATGACATTCATCATTGGGGATTTGTACCTTTACATGATATATTTTGGTTATTTTTTCCCATTCCCCTGCACTCCCTTCAACCCCTCCACCCCTCTCTATTTACAAAAATTTTGATTCCTTTTTTTCATTTTCTCATATTAATCCCATTCCCTTCTTTCCTTTACCCTGCTCCCACCACTTCCCCTTCCCCTTTGGACTTTTTCTTCCTATTTCACATTATTGATTATTATACATTTTCACTCTTTTTTACACTTTGTTTCTCACACTAGAAAAACTATTGGGTATTTATACATATGTGTTCTATTTATTTTACTTAAAAGTATGGCCTCAGTGTGCATCCGTTTAGCTATAAATGTCTCTAGTTTCTTACTCTTTTTTGTTGTTGTAGTTGTCGTTACCTGGGATTGAACTCTGATCCTTGCACTTGCGAGGCAGGTGGTTGCACCACTGAGCTGAATCCCCAGCCCTAGTTTATTATTCTTTATGGCTGAGTAGTACTCCATTTTGTAAAAAAAACACCTCTTTTTTACCCAGTCTTCAGTTGATGGCATTTGGGCTGTTTCCAAGTTTTAGCTATTACAAACTGTGCCTGTATGAACAAAGGTACACATATTTCACTGTGGTATGATTCTTTTAACCCAGCAGGGGAATAGCTGGGTCAAATGGGACCTTTAGTCCTAGTTCTTTATCTCTGTACTTATTTCCACAGTGGCTGCACCAGTCTGCACTCCCACCAACAGTGGAGCAAGGTTCCTTTTTCCTCATAGCCTTGCCAGCATTTGTTATTGGTTGATTTCATGATAGCAGCCCTTCTTTCTGGAGTGAGGTGGCATCTCAGGGTTGTTCACATTTGCATCTTTTGAATGACCAGTGATGTTGCATTTTCTTTTTTTTTTTTGCTAC